CAAACCCACACATTAAGAACCGCTGCTCTAACCCATAATACATTTTATTGGCAGTACCCTCCCTGTGTGTTATCTAAATCCTGTGTGCTGCCGAGATGCCTCATGAAAACGGAAAATGGTTTACTTACCTTTCCGTAATTTTCCTTTCCTGGTGCATCTTTTTTTTCCCCTTCCTGCCATGACTCGGACTCGTTTTACTAGAATGAGGAAGGCCTGGAGGGACCAGAATTTATCACGTGTCCTGTGGGTTAAGAGGGGCGGACCTTAACCCATAGTGTGCTGCCTTCGATGCACCAGGAAAGGAAAATTACGGAAAGGTAAGTATACAATTTTCCGTTATTTCCTATGCTTTATCTCCATCTAATGTCCATAAACTGATATTACATGAAAGCATTTGAAAATGCATTGCACTTGTAAAGAAAAAAAACTAAAGAATGTTCATTTCTAGCATATATTTTTGGACAGAGCAATCATTCACAGATATTCCCGGGTTGAGCAACCTTGCAAATCATTTATAAATGGAGCACAAAGTGTCTATATAGCCCAACAATAAACATCCTGTAGTACGATAACAATGCTGCACTTACAGCTGAACTTTAAGTATACATAGTAATTTAAACCTACATTGGTACAGGTTGGCCCAGTGTAAGTATACATATGTCATAACTGTTTGGCCACTGAGGATCTTGTAATGCACTGTAGCACCTGACACATGCATTTACATGTGTCTGTACATGGGGGGGGTTTAAAAAAAATTACATTTATTTTATTAATGTATTTTTTTACTTAACTGTTTTATTGAGATGGCATATTGGAGGTGACTCTTTAAGGAGACATTGGGAGTCTATTAGACCCATATTGTCTTGTTTGTACTCCAATTAAGCTAATATAGCATAGACCAGCCAGGGAATGAGGGCCCTGAAACCGGAAGTGAACAAAAGATCATCACTTCCAGTTTCATTGTACACAAGGACGATCGGAGAATGGATGTTAACTGATCTCCCTCCGCTCCCATGCTGACACACCTGTGGATTCACCACCCGAACCACTTCCATTAGAAAGCTGGCAGTTGACAAGTACCCTAATTATTCATAAAAATGTGTCTTATTTGTGCATGACTGAGTTGTAGATCGTCAAATCATCTCTAAATTGGTGCTGACACTGTCCTTCTTTCTGCAGGGAGGCTACTTTTGTTCCTTATGAACCCTCTGTGTGTTGTTAAGTAGTCGCCGCTCCGAGCTCACTCCCGTGATGGACTATAACTTTAATACAAATTAGTAAACTAAATGTGAGATTGTGGTCCATCACGAGAGGGGACTTAGGAGCACAAATCCAAAGATGAAAAATAAGCTACATTTGTATTAATAGTTAAGGGACGAAAATGCATTATTAAGATTTAACTCTTGAGTTTAGTGTCACTTTACGGAATATAATACAGGGGCTGGGTGAGTGTGCATTGCATCTTACATATCCTGGGCCACTACCTTCATGTAGAGTGTTTTGCATGTCAGCAAATGTCTCTTATTGTGAGTTTTTTTGTTTTTTTTACTTCACAGCCACTTCTTCCATAAAAACTGCATTGATCCCTGGCTGCTTGAGCACAGAACATGCCCTATGTGCAAGTGTGATATCCTAAAATCATTAGGAATTGCGGTGAGTCTCATGTTCTGTATGATACTGCTAGTATGCTTATATTCTATTTAAAGAGACACTGTTAGGGTACACATATTCTAATACATGAGATTTGTACGTTCTACAAGTCAATGAAAATTGGATTTACCAGTGGTGGAACTGATAAGTGTTAGAAAATTCTTTTAGCTGTCTTTACACGGGTAATTTATGTTCAACTGTATTATTCTACTTAAAAACCCATTAAAATGTAACTATTCATCTACTACAGCATAAATATGGTGTTCTTACCTGAAATACAAACGTCTTCATTGTACCTACTGCATATTTAACAATACTACACTGCCTCCTTCTGTTTAATTAGTAGAACTGCTTTGGCTTTAAAAAAACAATTCAGCTCAGATGCAATAATGAATATCACCTTTGTGAAACAGAGAAGCATACTATAATTTCATAGACTGTAGTTTCTAGAATATACAGTGAGCATTCATATACATAGATTGGTATAATCTCTCTAATTTGTAAATGTTTTAAGGCTGAAGAAGATGAGTCTGATAATGCTATGGTGATCGCTTCTGTGTCCAGTGAGCTACAGAGGAGCTCTGTACAGGTGGATGATGAGACTCGCAGTGATAACGCATCATCTGGATATGCCTCTGTCCGAGAAGCTGATGAGCCAGTGGAAGACCCTGAAAACACATGTAAGTGTATATAGAATACTGCAAATGACAAATGGAAGAATTCCTGGACTGCATCAAAGCCTTAGATACCCATTACAAACACATTATAATGTGATTAACTTTGACGTGCTAGTTTTTTTCATTACACAAAAGCGTAATAATTACAAAGATTTACTCCATCTAAATGGAGTAAATCTTCACCTCTTTCTTCACCTCTTACTTTCTTAGTCTCAACCATTTTGCTTTTTTGCATCTCCGCACTGGTGATCCCCTGTATGTCTTGTCTACATGCATGTGCTCAAGCCATCTCATTGCACAGGGTGAACATCTGGATAGTGACAACAGTGGATCATACATAATGTGTTAGCATAGACACCTATAGTCTACACCGGAAGTCCATGTGGCAGGTTGATAATGCAAGACAGCAGTTGGAAGAAAGGGACAGAGCATTGCCACCCTATAAGAATAAATCCCCAAAACATAAACCAGTCCAGAGAAAATTGAATCATTGGCAATTAAATATATTAATAATGATAAATAATTAATTATAATGATTATTAAAGTGTATCTCGGCAATGCAAGGGTTAACTGCTCATTTATGTCTAGGAGTGTAGTGAAAAGGATTACTTACCTGATCCCCGCTCCCCCAGCAGTCGGTCATGACCTCATCTCCCCTACGCTCCTGCTTGTCGACTTTCTCCCACCATCCCCACATATAATGCATGGCTATGAACCCTGCATTGGAAGTGTTGATGTGCCTCCGACCCCTGGAGCAGAGGCGGAAAGAGGATGCAGGTGCCAGGCTTGGAGCGAGGATCAGGTAAGCAAAAGTCTTTTGCACAGGTCCCCTATAATGAGCAGTTAACCCTTGCAGTGTGGTAGTTTAATTTTATTTCTGTCTATTTATCAAGCTTGTCTTTATCTTTTACAGATGAGAATGTTGAGCTTGTTAACAATGACTCAATAGCAATAGCTACTGACGTCCTTCCACATGCTGACAATCCAACATTTGAAAGTGAAAACCCCTCACTCGTGTACAATGTAAAATCATAAACTGAAGGACATGCAGAGCCTGGCTGGCTTGTACAGCCTAGGTAAATGCATAGTTTTAGTCATACAGCAATTTTTTTTTAACAGCTAAGCAAAAAAGTTGTTTGCAAACAATGTTTTATTTCCATTGTTAATGTATATATAACAGTGACAAATTTGGAGCATGCAAACACCGCATCCCCCCCGCCCCCCCATTTTCTTAATTGCTACATATTTTAACTCAGGTTTGTATTGCGCAGACCAAACAAAATTTTATGAAAAGTAGTATTTTAATATATTCATACTGAGCATAGGTACATTCAATTAAAAGTATATATGCCTTTTATAATATGTTTCTGGAGCAATAGATACCTCAATGAGGCTTCTTTAATAATGCAAACAGCAAAGTGCAGTACCCATAACAGCCAATCGTCTTTCATTTTCTCGGCTATGCTAGCCTAATGGATATGCTCTGTCAACATTAATGAGTTTGTATTAGCATTGTTGACACTATATTAGGCCTAGGACTGTTAATTGCAATGTACTATATTTTTTACATTAGATGTCCCTTCATGAAATGGGTAACTTTCACTCGTATTAGTCTGCAGTTTGCTAACCATTGCCGCAAAGGCAATTTGCTCTTCTCTTTAGACTGTGAATGGTAGGCAGCAGGGTATGGTAATCTGTGACTCTACAAGTTCCACTTGCACCCGCAATGCTGTTGGAGAGCCACAATTTTCTGTTCCTGTTATGCAGTGTCAAATCATTTCTATTGTGATTCAGAATAAGGAAATGCCTTTATTTATCATATTAACATTTTTGTTACTTATATCTTAGCCAAGAACGCCACTTAAGGGCAGTCAATGTGACAGGTATTTGTGAAGACTATATAGCAAATACCCCTGATCTACTGCTCGTGGATCAGGCTACTCTGCCCCAGTCATCTGATATAATAAGGCAGTGCAATAAGCAACACTGACATTTAAAATGCGGCAATCCAACATTGTAAAAAATGTCACCTTAGGGTAATGAAAAACGGTTGCTTTGGGATATTGGGCATTTCAACTTCTCTTTTTATAAACTTGTAGGCATTTAACTTTTGATCTGCTGGTTGTCATGAACCAGACGCACTCAATATAGTCTTTGTAGACACACTGCACTATCACTGCTTGCGTTCTTAGAGTTCAGCATTAATGATCAGAATATAATTGTTTTGATAGTTTAAAAAGGTATACATAACATTTTATTATGAGCATGGCTGAATGTGTAATGCCGGCAGATGAAGGGCAGGTATACCTTTTTAGCATGTTCCCTTTTCATAGCCTTTATGCATTCTGTCATGTTGCACAAAGCGATAAGCTTAATCAACACATTATTATATCCCAGAGATTATTGCGAATGACCCCAATGACCATAAATGAATGTAACTTCAATACAGATATGCAATCTTTACATGGGAGTGTGAACCAGATTGTTCTCCAAAATTCATGTATATGTTGGAGTCAGTCCACCCAAAAGTAATGTGTTGGCAATAGGTGGAATCTGGTGGGTTGAGTCAGCCCCCTGGCTTTACATCCCAAATCTGTTCCTGTCAAGATGAGATTTTTGGGTGTTGCCACCCCTTCTTAACTTGTTCCAGCAGTTCCTGTTGCATTCACCACCATAATATAAAATAAAGAATCCAGCTGCCAGGGGGAATTCCATTTATAATGAGCTCAGCAGATGTGCAGACCATGCAGGGATCTCGCCAATCGAGTCCGAAGTGATAAAAGAGATTGTCCGGTGGTTTCCTTTTCCCTCTTCTATTAAAACTAGAATGTCAATTAGTTAGATAAAATAAACCGCTCTGAGTTTTCCACATTTTCTAAGCCCAAACTATGTAGGAAATAGTGAGGTGAATTTCACTTTCACGAGTCAAGGAAGTGCACACAAATGACAGCGGATTCCCAATCCAATTGATTTGCATACCAGTTTGCATGTTCCCACAGTTAACCTACAAATAACATGCACTGCATTAATCATGCAAAGTCAGTAAAGTGTGGTCTTGTCGGGGTCTGCATGTAGTCATTGGCACTGGTTCATATGAATGAAAATCACTTAACGGAATTTTAAAGGTGAGAAATGCACAAAGCAGTTTAGAAACATTCCAAAATGGCATATAAATGCAAAGTCAGAAGCTGCCATCCCTATGAAATCAACTTGGTAAAAAGTAATTCTGTTGTATAATGATACAACATTTTAAGGAAAGTACACAATGAGATTTTAGCAGCACTATACCTTCTTGGTTTTAATTTTTGTAAGAAAGCCAGACAGTGAACACGATCTGTAACTCCTGAACCACACTCCTTTTAAATAAGATATTATCATTATCATTTCTATCCACTATTAGGCCACAGTAATGTTGTACTTTTCAAACTAATTTCTGCTTGTGGGGAGGAAGCCACCCCACTTCCCCAATCAGACATCTACCAGTAAACAAATATAGAAATCGTTGTTTTTGTTTTTTTGTATAGAATGCTTAGGATTTGAAAGATCCAATCTTGTGTTTATTTGGAAGACATGCCAAAGTGATCTCTGCCCTCACTACTATATTCTAAATGTTTTAATCTTGGCATTAGAAACCATTTGTTTTAACAGTTGACATGATTATACATTTTTAATATCAATATGCTGCTGAAACTGGTTTACACTGGGTTAGTTTTCTGTAGTGGGACCATAAAAAAAAGGTGTGCTCCTTAATAGAAGCCAATAGATGTAATGTAATGTGTTCAAATGTAAGCATGCTAAAAAATGATAATGCAGACCCTTATAGGTTGGATGACCTATCCAGTGCCTGCACTACAAAATGCTAAATAACTGGATCTTGGGATGACACTTATAAGACTTCTCACTCTTTTTACCTTCACTTTATTATCACTTGTACTTAACTTGTGGTGATACACTGATTCACCTCTATTCCTGACCTACTGCACTTGGCTAAAATTTAGATTTTTTTCATTAAGACTTTAAAATAAGCTGACTTTACAATTGATTGGCAGCAACAGGGGGTGATCTAAAGCCTGACAGGTCATCAGGGTCATCAAGGTCTGCCCATTTTAGATGACCATGACCGGCGTTCATGTGACTAGGTTGTTACAGGCATAGTCATTGACCACCAAACAAATTTCACAATCAAGCCATTGTCATTGATCAGTAGAATGTCTCCCAAAGCAGAGTCTCCCAAAACACAGAAGTTTGCCCACCTATTTATTTAATTCTTTGGTAAATACTATATGTGGATGGAATTCTATATTACTGTATGTTGGAAATGCAATCATATGTTAAATGTTATGGAAAACAAAATGTGATTAAGATTTGTTAGCATATTTCCAACATGTATTGATTACGTCTTTTCTACTTGGATGAAGGAAATCATACTTGCATCCTATATTAACCTATATCATTGGTCTGTGTGAACACTTGAACTCGTGTCTACAGAAAAAAAAACACAATAGTGGTGGCTTTGTTGCCCATAGCATCCAGTTGGGTAAATGCGCAAATTTTCCTGATGCACATTAGAAAACTGGAGCAAATACATTGCTGTTGCAGTAAGCAAAGCAATTGCTGGAGTTATTAAACAGGGCTGTGCAAAAAGTAATAGTGAAAAGCAAAGTGCAGTAACCTACAGCAACTATAAATGATCTCTGATTGCTGTGAATGAAAACATATTTCAGCATTGATATTTCATCCATTCAAAACGGTTAGAACAATGCAGGATGATCAATGGTTGTCGTGTGTAACTGCACTTTATTTTGCCTTGTTAAAGTAAACTTATTCTGCATAGCAGGAACATTTTCATGCCATATTGTACTGTGTTTTGCCACACATGCTCTAACTGGTGTTATGTTGCATGCTGATGTGCACTGTTTTAACGCAGCCTATTCGTTTTGAATGGTGCCCCAACGCAGGTAGAAACGCATGGCATGTGTGTTGCTTTGTCCAATACTGTATAGAGAGATGGGATGCCATTCAAAAGTAAATTGCACTGCACCGCAACACACTATACTTAGAGGCATACTGCAGTAATATGCTTTTTAACAAGCGTTAATGCAATTCAATAGTCTGAATGGGCCCTGACAATGCTTCTTTACTACCCTGATTCAGCCTAGGAGACTCCTAAAACCTCTGCTTAATATTGGGTAACCACTATCCCTGTGTTTCCCACTATGTAATGGAACAGTGCCTGGTTAACTAGTTACCAAGCTAAGGAGTTCCTAGCTCTGTGGAAAATACCTACTTCCAACAGGTTGGTATATGCATAGGATCTTTATGGAGCTCCCATGGCACACTGGAGCAGCACAGAGGCACTATCAAAGGAAACCTCTACTGAGAGATTTAAGAGGCTGACATTGCTGGTTTCACCTTCTAACAATACTAGTTTCCCAGCTACTACGCTGTTCGAATGGGTTCAGTGCCTTGCAAGTCATTGACTTGGAAAAGGTATGCAGAATAGGGCTTCTGACTTTTATAAACTGCATTCTTGTTCTCTGTCATTGACTGAGAATGTATTGAAGCCAGAGACAGCCAGGCAACTAATATTCTCAGGAGATCGGGAACGGCTACCTCCATATTTCCTCACTACAGGTTTTCTTTAAGGGCCCATTCACACCAAATCAGGAAGGTTGCAGAGTATGTGATAATGCACATGTATAGTAGTCAATGGACTCCTAGAGTCCCCTTTACAAAAACACATTTAACTGCAGCACATAGATGTGGGCCAGCTACATATAAGAGAAGTGGATGCAATGCAGTAAAATTTGTGTATTTTACTGCAGGAAAATGTAAGAGAGACTATGACCTTAGGTTTGATAAAGTATCAGCACATACTTGGATTATTTTTACTGCTTCCAGGTTTACTTTAACAAAACTAAATGTGCAGTTGTAGAGCTGTTGTATTGTACTGTGCTCTAAGATCCTTCCACTTTTGTATAATTTAAAGGAAAAGCACTTTATTTGTGTTCTTTATAAAGCAGTAACCTCATATTTAATTCAATGTGAATAGAAATGTGTAAATTAATGTCAAATAAGGGTATATGCACATGAGTGGCACACAAGCATCTACGTTTCAGCAGTGTCTTTTAAAGGAGAAAAAAAAACAAGTTGTACC